ACTATACGTTCATTTGTTAATTGTTATCGTAAAAATGTAAAAAGCCCTACTTAGAAATATCACTGCATACCTCGACTGACACCGACATCAAGGTAATGATATATATTATCTATACTACTATACTACTATAATATAATATAATATCTATACTAATGTTATAAAGAGGAAAGATTTGTATTTTTGTATGTATTGAATTAACTCAAAAACTACTGGGCCGTTTTTAAAAATTCTTTCACCATTAGAAAGGTAATTTATCTGTGAATAACATAGGCTATAACGTTTAATTTTTTAATTTCACGCGGGTGAAGACGCGAGCAACAGCTAGTTGTATAATAATGAGATAACAGCTACAATAAGGGAGGTTTACATTTAAGGAATTATTTCGTGTGTTTTTAGTGTACTGTTTTTTGAGAATATTTTGTTTTTAGTGTTCTGTTTAGTTTGTTGATTTGTATAATTTAAAATTTTATTAAATTTTAGGTTAAGAAATAAGTTAAAAAATGAAGTATCAACCAACTAAAAATGTGCCTTGTTTAAAATTTTTCTGTCAGGCGATTTAACGAAATATTTACTAGAATAATGTTTTCAATATTTTGGATTATTTTACTTCGTGTAAGCAAAAATATTTATTTTAATAAAAACATTTACATTTTTGTTGCGCGAGGTATTTTCGTTTCTGGAATACACAAAACAAGAAAAAAATAAAGTAGGGTTGTGTTTGCATAGATATTGGTGGCTCATTTGAATTTTCACGATCGAAGCTTAGTCTAGGTCGAGTCTAGTTGCTTATCTATTTTGAATTTATCAGAATATTTTGTATAGTAAATTGTTTACACGAAAATGTAGACAGGATCAGAGAGGAAAGGAATTTAAGTTTCCATTTAGGTTACTGAAACTCTCTTCATTTGAATTAATAAATTAGTGTTTTAAACATTTTTTTGCCCTTAAAATTTTTTGTAGAAACAAGAATTTCTTTCATGTCTCTATTTTACGTTTAATTAAGTATAACACGTATGAAAATTGAAAGTATTTTAATGCTTTAAATAAATACAATCATACTAATATTATAAATGCAAAATTAGATGGATGGATTGTTTATTAAAGTTTGTAGCCCAAAATAGCTGATCGGATTTTGATTAAAATTAATATAGAAGTAGAGGACAGTCTGGAAACACTCATATATTCCGTTTTGTTTTTAAATTCCTCGCAGACGAAAGCTAGTATTGAATAAAACATGCATCAACATATCGATTTACACTTTTTTCAATTTCTACATAGACGTTAGTGTGTTTTTCAGTACGTATTGTACAAACATTGTGCCTGAAAACGACATCATAATTCCAGTTGTCCGGCTTTAAAATATTTTCCATACGCCCGCGCAAATTGGAACTCGTTAACTGAATTTCAGATCGTCGATTTTACACTCACTATCCGTTTACTGAAACCGTGTCGCTGAAAATTTCATACCGACGCTTTCAGGCTACGCTTCGACTGATAATTGCAATACAATCTATCTAATTCGATTGTTTTTAGTTTTATTGAAATGAAGGATTTACCTACAGAAAACTAAGTAGTAGAAGTACGGAAAACTTTAGAAGGACCCAGAAGGGTCCGAAAAGTCGGTGCCGCCACCGGAAAAATAGACGTAAGCCGATACATAATGATATCTTACCAGAAACAAAATAACATCACAAATCAGCTTACAGCTTACGTTTGTCATCTTATATTATAAAAAACATTGTCATAACTAGAACATAATTTTTAGTGCACAGACTTCCTTGGCATCTTAAGAATCTTATGCCGAAGATTACGACACATGAATGAACAAACTGATCTGTAGTTCTTTATCTAACTCATATAAGTCTTAAATGTATCTATAAAAAACAAACTGACAGGTCTTAGACGTCTTGAAAAATGTCTTCCCTTTACAGAGATTTAAACAGATATGGAGGAGGCATAGTCGACAATTCATTTGAGACATTTTTCACGTAATCACACTATCTATTTTATTTGTACACAATGTATTTAAATTAATTTCCAATAGGTGTTAAGTAATAATAAGATAGATTTAGATTTTATTTTGTAAAACTGATTAGTTAAGCTGTAGCTCGCGACTCCGTCTACGTAAAATTAAAAAATAACTGAAGCCTGTGCTACTCACTGATAACTAAGCCTTTTAATGGTGCAATAATGTTTGAAATCGGTGCAGTAATTTTCGAGTTATTTCAATACAAACAAGGTACCAATCGTAATTCTTCATAATATTAGTATGGAATACAGAACTTAGTATAATTTTGTAAAATTACATAATTACATATCAATAAAGGGACACGAGGTTTCACTAAACTGAGTAACCTTTTCAAAAAAGTACCGGTGAAAAAAATTGTTTACCATGCCTCGTCTATTTTTTAAATGTCTGCTTCCTCTCGTTACAACCAAACGGGAAAACGGTCACTGTAAGGGCATTGAACGAAGAAAAATGAAAAGAAACATTGAATGTATTTAAGATAAATGTCTTACGGGCAGGGCCGAACTAATTTATAGGTCGAGTGCCATCGCTCGCAATTGTGCAGCCAATGGAAAGATAGTAAATCCGATTCCTCTTTCAATGTACAGTGTATAAATTTAACTTGAGTTGGTAAGGGATAGATTAACCCTGTTGTTTATTTAAATATTAGAGTTTATATGGACATAATGAAACGCCGGCACTTAGCTTCACAGTTGTTTAATTCCTATTACATTTTGGTTGTAATAAGAATCAATTGATTAGCGCGAGATACGATGACAGACGAGATAGAAGTGCAAGAGAGTGAATGAATGTACATTAGGGATGTCCGTGTGACGCTGTTGCTAGTGATGTCTGTAGTCGATCATTAGGGATCTATATTGTTAATGGTAGACTGTATATTGTGGTTTGTAAATAAATAATAGGCTGGTCGATTGGATGATATATTGGTCGGAATAGTTACAAGTTGCGATTGATTAAGTATATGTCTTGTCTTGTGGTCGATCGGAGCGCAACTGGCCGATGCGGTGTGAGGGCACGCGGGGACGGACGAGGGCTGAAAGGGCCCCTTCGCCCCTCATCCCGGCTGGTGTTGCAGTGAGACGCAACACATATGAAGGTGACATAGGCGCCAACAACTAGCTTTCGAGACTCCATCCGCGTGGAATTAAAAAAAAATCAGTAGCCTATGTATTCTTCCAGATTATGCTTTACTTCTATTCTAAAATTCATCGAGATACGTTCAGCAGTTTAGGCTACAAACTTTAACAAACATCCATCAATCTAAACTTTTGCATTCATAATAGTAATATGATATATGCAGTGACAATAATAAGATAGAATTCTTGTTGGAAATGGTTTCGTGCGGCAACCGCTCAGGGCCTCGACATAAACGGGCGTAGAAAGACGCCTCTTTCATTGGTGTGCAGTTAGAAGAAATATAATTCATAGTGTAGAATAAGGGAATTAAATCATGTATTTTCAGTTTCCTTTCATATATTTAAACTTTTACATAAGAGAGAATGGTAGAAGTTTTAGTGTGGGGTTTACTTAGTTGGTCTGCAACTACATTTTCTTCCCCGCGCTATAAATCAGTTCACCTCCGCACAAATGGAGACATTAATCTTTTGTAAACGGACACTCGCGAGCTCTTTAAATAATGTTACTTCATTTCTCTGAATTTACTTTTATTTTTAAAACCCTGTTTGAGAAACTTAACAATTTATACTGTGCAATTTG